GGGTGAAAATAACTATAGAAGTAGTTAGTATCACTTAGGGTCATGTGGGTGGTGGCCTAGATGGTGATGAGATTGTGCCTTAAAGCATTGGTTCTCAAACTTGTTAGACAAGGGCTGGCCAACCTGCTGCACTCAGTCCACAAATGGCACAGGCAGATGCTGTGTGGCACACAGCAGGTCAGGGAGGGAGCAAGGGTAGCAATAATGACATAAGATAGCAAGCAGAGCAACAGATTAGTCAGGGGAAGGGATTTGGAGTGGCACTCAGAGGGTGCAGGGCTTACCATGTGGCATGCCTGCCAAAAAGGTTGGCTTCTACTGCATTAGATTCAAGGGGCCCCTTGGAAAATGTCAGCTCTTAGCTTTTGTTCATTTTTGACAAGAGAAAAGTAATAGAGAAGTTCTTCCATTGCAAATAACTCAGACGACAATACATCAGAATGTTTCTGAAACTATAGATTCCTATTTGAAATCTCTGGGTGGTCTGTGCATCTTGTTTTCATACCTACCAGTGCTGATAATGAACAGGACCCTGGTTGAGAACCACTGTCTTAATCACTGTATGGGCTAAGTTCATGTCCCATTAATGTTACTGGGGGTCTTCACTGACTTCATTGAAAGTTCAACACTAGTCCTAAAATAATGCTGCTTTGACAAATGTTCACATCTGTAGTGTTTTCCACTGAATATAAGGAAAAAGGAATCCACAAACTAGAGTGGCTGCTTTGCATTTCTTCAGCTGGCTTCTTCCTCAAAGTTTTCAGGAGCTTGTAGAGATTGACATTGGATTTAATTCTAAAGATACTTCTTTTTCCCTGCCACCTCCCCAGGCATATGGTGTTCTCTGGGATATACTTACGATTACTAATATGCATCTGTGCTTCCTAGAATTAGCCTGAAGGATTTTGGACCCCATTTGCATCTGTTCCTTTGAGATAAACTGTGAAGGACAAGACTCTCCACCAGTAAAAAAGCTACTCCTCAGCTGTTAACTGTGTCATGTCTGACAGCTGAACAGTTCTGAAACTGTGCAGTAGAAGGCAGCAGTATGCACGTGCCCCTTTAATGCCACGTCAATAGGAAAGTTGAAGTTAGGTGTTGGAAACTAAACCTAATGTGCGGTTATTAAGCAATAGGTAGTATTGACATATCTAAACACTCCAATCTTGGAAACTGGATAAGAAAGGCAAGTAGGACTGATTTCTATTTTGTGGTAAGCAGAATGTGCAGATGTCAACCCACCCTATTAGTGCCATGAGTTCTATAACAGCAGGGAAACACTAATTGCTACAGGGTAGAGCAAAATGGAACAGATGTTCCAGGGACCCTAAATGACTGGGCAAGGAGTATGGCACTTGTCATTTGAAAAGGATCATGGAAATGGCAACAGCCTAGTAATACGATACATGAGTATCAGAGTTCTCAGGGGTACAAAGAGGCAGTACAGAGAGTTGGAAGCTGGGGTGCATAGAGTGCCTCCAGGTGTGCCTTTGCGATTGCTGCAGCCGCGCCTGATCTCTCAGTGTCCACTGAAGGCAGCCTAGGCTTGACTTGCAGAACAGCAGGGAGCCCAAGCTCTTCCCACCTCTGAAACCCCAGCCTTTCAATCTCACCTTCCCTGGTTCTCGCTGGCCCTGACTCCAAAAGTGAACATCCAGTTCCACTCCAGAAAAAGAGGAACGGGATGACCCAGTGCAACCCACAGTTCCAGGAAGCACGGCAGACAGTCTCTTCAGTGAAAGGACTCTGGTTGGATGTCACTGGGCTAAAGAAACTAAGGAAACACTTTCCCTTATGCTTCCAGGTGGTGCCAAGCTGCTTGTTTCCAACCTGCCCTCCCATTGTCACATATGTCTTCTCTGGATCTCTCTTGGTTGTTGGACATCTCATCTCAGTTGAAATGTCAACAAAGTAATTGAAGGCTTTGCTGATGCTGTAGGTCCGTCTCATCTTATCCTGTACATAGCCACCTCAGGCACTTAACCCTTCAGTCTCAGTGGACATGCTAATGAGAGAAACCGAATCGTGTAATATTATAATGTAAACACAGTTAATGTAGAAATAACGTTATAAAACCTGTAGTCCATCACATGGGGTAACACGAGAAGGTGAGACATGAATATCATATCTTTTCCTGCTGTGTTCCAGGATAGGAAAAAGAGACCCAGTGGGTATGATGAGTGCTGAAGGGTGAGCAGTGGAAATGGGCAGTGGAATTTGTTTAATTAAAACCCAAGAGGCAGGGAACTGCAAGAAGAGGGGCTGATATCATGGGGAGGCAGCTGACAAACCTGAAGGGACTCCTTTATCCTTGGCTTTAGTGACATCATATGCCAAAAACTTTTAAATTTTTTTTTTGGTAGATAGCCCTTTAATTATGTGTTCCTTATTTTCTGGATACCTGATTGTTAAGGTACATTGCACCCAGCACTGGAGCTCAGTATTTCTGAACCCAGACTTCAGGCTTCTCAGGAGGGGCATGCAGTCACTAAAGCACCCAAGGTTAGTGAGTATCTTTGTAAATTCTGTTTTTAATTTTCTGTCCCTCAGTCCCTCATTTATAAAATAGGCATAATATCACATGGGGTAGAAGTGGCTAGAATCTGTTGTCTGACAGATCTGATTTTTATCATTTGAGTTCTTGAGCACAGAAATAGTAACGGATGAAGTCAACAAGTTTCAAGACATCTGTATGATGTCATACTAGAATGTAGGAGGTTCATCTGATTTTTGAAGGGTTGAGAACACCCAAAATGCACAGTGATGCATCAGTGTGGATAAGTCCACAGTGATGCATAAGTTAAAGTCACAGACGATATCATTAGTTTTGCCCTTAACACATTATTTTTATGTTAATTAGTGGCAAGAAGAGAAATACCAAAGTGTAGAGCTAGTCATTTACACAAATGCAGTCTGTAGTGTTTTTTCTAAATTGTTTTATGATATGAACTTTGCCATGGGTTCATTGAAAAAATCTAAAATCTTGACAGTGTCCCAGCCTTTTCAGATTATTAGACCATGTCTGTATGGTAGTTAATGAGATCTAACTGGATTTGTAACTAAAAATAACTATGGACAAATAGTAAGTGTTTGATGTAGAGGGTGACCTTGGAGCAGTTTAACTCTCATGTAATGTCAGTCTCTTACTTAATTTCACTAAAGCAGTTATCTGGTTGTAAAGCAGTTCAGGCAGTAATGTAGTATGTCATATATATTCTTTTAATTATTATGATCTTCCTTGTGGCAATTATAATTTACTTTATTGGAGATAACAGTAAATTGGTAGATAAAAGTCTCTGGACAGATAAAATTGTACTTTTCCTATCTTTTTAAATTGTGACTAGAGCAGCTAGTTCATGGTTAACTTTTTTGTTTCTTATGTTAAAAGTGAAGCTTTGCTGGGTTTAAGAAACAATTTAATGAAAATTTTCAAAGGAGATGTGCCTGAGAGCATGGTATAAAATGTTTCAAAGTATTTTATAATACATTACAGAATTCCTTTTGTTTGCCTCGCTGGTTGCTCAGTATATACTATACATAGCCTTTTTTCTTCAAACTGAGAGGATGAATTCTCCAGTATTTACATAAACAGAAGCACCTTTGAAGATTTTTCCTACAGAACATATTTAAAATTACCTCTGTTGCTTCCTTTGTTCAAATCAAACTACAGTATCAAAGTCTGTGTGGTTCTCTCTCTTAATTCACATCATGCTAAGTCTGCTTGTCTCGTTTGTTTCTTCATATTTCTCTGGGGCTTAGTTATTTCCCTAAATACCCTTTCTCTTGGTATTCTGATGGTTTTACTAATTTTTTAGCCATTATTGATATATTTGTATTTTTACATTGAAAAGCATATGCATTGTACAGCAGCATCTGTCATGCCTGCTTTGAATTCCATCTCAATGTAATTTGTTTTTCCCTCAGAAACTAATATATTGGAATTAGGTATATGGTTTTGGAGAATAATCAAATTTAGGAGGATAATCTGTTGGTGTAGATTTTTGTTCTTGGAAGTCCACAGATGCAAACTCTTATACTATATTACATGATTTTAAAAAAATCTATTTAACAAAACCAGTGTTACATCAAAAGATAAACTGTTTAGAAAAAATAACTTTTAACAGATTTTGTGGTAGAATCTAGATACCACAATGATGAGCAAAGTAAAAATGCTTACACAGAAATATCAGGCCACCTTCTCCCATATGTCTTGTCATTGTAATATAATTCACCAAGTCAGAGTACTCCTTGCGTTATGTGCAGAAGGCATCATTATCTTTTCTCATTTGGACCATGAACACAATTGTTACCACCACCTGTTTATAGTTCAGTAATTGTCAATCTAATTGATAAGGGAGAACTACCTCCTCTCCATAAGAGGTGAAGTATTCTTTCATGCTGTGAGTACATACGTAATGGAGGTCTGTCATGTATGGCAGGATCAATATTTGTTTTGCATTTGATCTATTTTTATTGGGTGAGAATACAAATTTTGTACAGCAGTTATCTGCCACAGGCTAGAGTGTAGTTTTTGTAACTAGTAGATTTTTCTTTTAATGCAATTGCACATTCTGAAAGGATTAATCTTAATGCTAGCTTACCCAGGTAGTAAAGGTAATGCTCAGAAGTATATGCTCATTGTGTACATTTTCAAAAATGAGCAGTATAGTTGCGAGTCCCAGGGAAGGAGTGGGTCCCTTACTGAATGGGGGAGGCAGCCTAGTGACAGAGGATGCAGAAAAGGCTGAAGCACTCAATGCCTTTTTCATCTCAGTCTTCGCAGGCAAGGTCAGCTCCCAGACTGCTACACTGGACAGCACAGCTTGGGGAAAAGGTGAGCAGCCAAGTGTGGCGAAAGAACAGGTTAGGGACTATTTAGAAAAGCTGGACATGTACAAATCCATGGGGCCAGAAGTATCTGAGGGTGCTGAGGGATTTGGCCAGAGTGATTGCAGAGCCACTGGCCATCATCTTTGAAAACCCATGGCAATTGGGAGTGTGCCCAGATGATTTAAAAATGGTAAATATAGTGCCTGTCTTTAAGAAAGGGAAAAACGAGATGTCCAGGGAACTACAGACCAGTTAGCCTCACCTTAGTCCCTGGAAAAATTATGGAGCAGTTCATCAAGGAATCCATTTCTGAGCACATGGAGGAGAAAAAAGTGATTAGGAATAGTCAGCATGGATTCACCAAGGGCAAGTTATGCCTGAAAAAATTGATTGCTTTCTATGATGAGATGACTAGCTTTGTGGATGTGGGGCGACCAGTGGATGTGGTATATCTTGATTAGCAAGGCTTTTGATACGGTCTTTCATAATCTTACAGGCAAGATAAGGAAGTACAGGTTGGATGAATGGACTGTAAGGTAGATAGGAAGCTGGCTGGATTGTAAGGCTCAGCAGGTAGTGATTAATAGTTTGTCTAGTTGGCAGCCAGTGTCAAATGGAGTGACTCGGGAGTCGGTCCTGAGGCCGGTTTTGTTCGATATCTTCATCAGTAACCTAGAAGATGGCATAGAGTGCATTTTCAGCAAATTTATAGATGACACCAAGCTGGGATGGGGGGAGTGGTAGATACACTGGAGGGTGGGGTTAGGATTCAGAGAGACCTAGACGAATTGGAGGACTGGACCAAGAGAAATCTCATGAGGTTCAACAAGGACAAGTGAAAAGTCTTACACATAGGACAGAACAGTTCCATGCACTGGTACAGGCTGAGGACTGACTGGCTGGGCAGCAGCCCTGCAGAAAAGGACTTGGGGGTTACACTGAACAATAAGTTGCATATTAGCCAACAGTGTGCTCGTGTTGTCAAGAAGGCTAACAGCATACTGGGCTGCATTGGTAGGAGTGCTGCCAGCAGGTCAAGGGAATTGATTATTCCCCTCTATTCAGCATTGGAGAGGTCACGTCTGGAGTACTGTGTCCAGTTTTGCATTCCCCACTACAGAAGGGATGTGGACAAATTGGATAGAGGCCAACAAAAATGGTTAGGGGGCTGGGGTACAAGACTTATGAGGAGAGGATGAGGGAACTGGGCTTATTTAGAGAAGAGAAGACTGAGAGGGGATTTAATGATAGCCTTCAACTACCTGAAGGGTAGTTCCAAAGAGAATGGAGCTAAACTGTTCTCAGTGGTGGCAGATAAGGTTAGATATTAGGAAAAACTTTCTCACTAGGAGGGTAGTAAAACACTGAAACAGATTACCCAGAGAGGTTGTGGTATCTCCATCCTTGCAGGTTTTTAAGACCCAAGTAGAGAAAGCTTGACTGAGATGATCTAGTTGGGGTGGTCCTGATTTGAATAGGGGGTTGGACTAAATGACCTCCTGAGGGCTCTTCCAGCTCTAATTTTGTATGATTCTATGAATATCCTGTTTTACAATGTATGGTGAGCTGACTACATGCAGTATTCCCTTCCTTTCAGGGCTCAAAAGAAGTGGAGGACTATGAAAGGAAGGAAAAAAACTACCTCACTCTACATGGACAGATATCTCACTTTCATTTCAATTTTTTTTCTCCCTCTATAGGTTATTAGCCAAAGTGTTGGAGAAAGGCTTGTGACAGAGGGGAGTTGGGGACTCCTCTTGTCTTTATAGATGTCTTTGAAAGGCAGGGGAAAGTAATTTTGAAAGTAAATTTACTTATCAATATTAGGTGTATTTTTAATTCCTTCCACCTATCTTCTCCTGTACTGTGGATAATTATATCACACATATGGAAACAGTTCACTATTAATTTGGTACTGTTGTGCCCTTCAGCTGAAGCCAAAATTTTCTGCTTTTGTTGTTAATTTCCAGAATAAATTGATGCAGAGAATCTTATCAATTTTTTTAAAAGTGGTTTGGGAGAGAAACAGGAAATGGCTAAGTAAAATTGATTTTCCAAGATTAGAAATGCATACAATGTATGCACTTATAACACTTATGCATTGACAGTGTTAAAGTTTAGATTTGGGATGTCTTCTGTGTTGTTGGTTCTTTTGTCAGGGGACTTGCTATTCATACTGTATCCATAAAGGCACAAATACATAGGTACAGTTGCCTTCATAAAGTCAGTGCCAAGGCAGCATAATTTAAAACATTTGACAGGATTTCAGCTTCAATGCTGTTAGGAATAGAATTAATCCAAGGTAGTAGTGTCCTCTCTAGGAGCTCAAATCCATCTTGGAATAGCTTTTTGTTCCCCTTTTTGTTGTTTGCAACTAAGCATTTACCATTTTTGGAAAACACTGGCTGCATTCGTATACCAAGAATCTCTCTCCATTTCTCATGTTTTTGAAGTTGAGGTTAACAAAGTCAATTCCAAGCAAGTAGTAATATATGAGTAATGATTTTTGTCCTGAAGAACAGCCCAGAACAGTGTGGAAGTGCTGATGCTTTTGCTTTGTAGAAGAGCCCATAATAACAAAGTATTCTTGTCAGAGTATATAATGAAACTATAAATTGTTTTCATTAATGCTACAGTATTTGGTCTTTTACTGAGCACATATGAAATGTATT